CCAGCGCGCACTAGATGCTATCGGAACAGATATTCACGACCTCAGTATGGTCGCCAATATCCTCTTCTCAACCACGCATGGACAAACCATTGACTTCTGAATCTATGTCGATGAATCTGTAAATTCTTTGGGCATTATCAAAGAAACAGGAACTAACAGCCGATGGACTACAGCCACCGGAAGCTACCACACAACTCTGGTAAGCTGAGCATCAAAAAAGAGCATAACCAAGAAGAGAATTTCCATACCGCCGCCCATATGACCAGGAATGTCAAAGTAGTAACAAGAACCCCGTTTTCATCCCTCCTTCGATTCTGCTGTCCTCTACCCTCCCTCTCTTGTCCCCTCAAATCCCCTTCTGCCCCTTCCTCGCCCGACTCTCCCAAGTAATATACCCATCAGGTTGATTCTCCTTGGGCAAATGCTGCGTCCACTTCCCGCCCAAAAACCCCACACTATCATCCTGAATCGTCCTCGCCTTCCAATAACACCAACTCCTGCCCACGCCGCCCCCCTCCCCCTTCGCCAACGCCATAAACCCGTCCAGACACTCCTGCGTGAGCGGTATCCAGCTCCATAAGTGGTGTGCGAATTCATTGTCGATGTTGACTTTGAAGATCCAGTCAATGGGTTTGTTGTCGTGGCCGGTGATGGTGTAGGTGAAGACGGTGGCGCTGTCGGAGAAGATGGGGTTGCTGCCGTGGATGGAGCAGAATTGCCGCATGGCTTTTTCCCATTCGGGGACGTCGGGGTAGTGTTGCTGGGCGGTGTTGCATTGGTCGCCGCGGCGGACGAGGGTGGTTGTGTTGGTGTCGTGTGGAGGGGTGGGAGGGGTGGATGGTGAAGATAGGACTGTTGCTGCGAAGGCGGCGAGGAGGAATGCCATGGGTAGATGCATGGTGTGGAGTAATTTGACTCTACCTTTCCAGTGGGCGCGGGTGTGGACGTGGACGTGGGCAAGCAAAGGTGCATAACGTGAAAGACGTGTAGTTTGTCTTGTTATATCCTTCAACACCCTGCTTGTATATTCCAGCCAACCAATAGACAAGAAGTTCTAGGGAGGCGTTGCAAGGACAAAGAGACGACTCGGATGTCCTTCCGGTTATCATAAAGGAATGATGCCGATGCCATGTCACATGGAAAGCCCTATGCCTGTATCCGGCATGATCGAGAGACAGTTTCACGATGCGGCGTCGCAAACATAAAGAAACGACCCGTACCCGTGGGCTCGTCCCTTCAACCGAACAAAGAGATGATCGCCGTGGTGCAACACGTGTCGACGAAGTGAACGCTGCCATGAGATCAGGATATTCAAAGCAGGCTATATCAATGGGATCCCTGCATGACTATGTATTCACTCCATTGAGGTATTGCAGTACCCGTCCGGCAATCAAACATGATCGTGGTCTTCCACTTCTCGTTCTAATATATCGAGATGCAGAGATAAAGTACGGAAAGTCGCGAAGACGCGAAGACGCAAGACCGATGAGAGAGAAAGAGTACCTAGGTAACTAGTCCTTCAATACACCCACACAATCTCAATACTCGATAGTGGCAAAGATCCATGATACCCTCTCTACCATCTCTACCAAGTCCACACTATCCAAACTTCTCACAAGTGCCACCAAATCCCTCAATCACACAACATGTTCTGCCATGATCGAAAAACCTGCCTGCCGTATCCAACAAACGCATCTCGCATCTTTCACCTCGCATCCCCCCTTCCCACGTCCAAAAACAGCCTTAGATCAACAAAGACCGTCAACGTGGCGCAGCCAACTACCTCCGCTATATCATCGTATCCTGAAACCGGGGGAGGACTGGGGAAATATGTGTATAAAAGACCCCTCGTCACCTGTAAACCATGTGAGGAACCAGTGCGACTTTGTGGTATCGCATTTATAAACCTGTTGTTATACTACACAACTACGACTACACACCCCATCACCCGCCCATGAAACCCCACGACCGATTCTAACGGTAAAATCCCGCTGCGTCATCTCCACCGACCGGCGGCGCGCTGGGTGCTTGTTGTCCTCCAGGTCGATATGGAAGGTAACCTTGAGCAGGCGGTGCGGGGCTAGAAGTGTTGCCAGGCGGCGCAGGTGGTGCATATCCAGGCTGTGTTGGTGGGTATCCATAGCCTTGCTGAGGCGGTTGTTGCGAGTAAGGGTCTGAAGGTGGCTGTTGTTCTTGTGGGGCTTGCTGTGGCGGAGGTGAGGAGAGCTGCTCGTATGGGTTTTGCTGTCCTTGTGGTGGGCCTTGGGGAGCGCCTTGCTGTGGGGGGTAGCCGCCTGCTTCATAGCCTTGCGGTGGCTGGCTCGGAGCGTGGAAGGAATGGCGGTTGTCGACTGGTGAGTCGTATTGACTGGTCGCTAGCTCCTGGGGTGCGTAGCTCTGCGGTCGCCCTCCTACTGGTACTCTGCCTGGAGGTAGTGTGTAGGGGTCTGATGGCGGTCCTGGCTTCGGGGTTTGCTGTGTCCGTTCATTCGGGGGAACCATGAAGAAAGCAGGGCTTGAGCCTACGGGTGGTACTTGGGAAGGAGGCCCATGTTGCTGGGGTCCTCCGCCATAAGCGTAGCGGCCCGGATCTTGGTGTGGGGTAGATGATACAGGTGGGTATCCTTGGTAGTTTGAGGGGGGCGGTGCATTGTAGCCGCCATATCCAGGACGGCCGCCGTATGCAGGTTGTTGGGGCTGGGACATGGATGCCTCCAGCATTGACTCGTAGTCTCGACGAGCCTTGATGAACTTCTCGTTCAGCTGTGTAAAGTCATCTAGAAAAGTTAGCGCTGGTTGTAAGGCTTCCTACGATTGACCTACCCTTCTTCTGCGAATACTTCCCGATAAGCTCGATTAACTTCGGCCGAATAGCAAGCGTTGAATGGTAAAGCTCAGTAATCTCCTCGTTGTCTCGCGCATCGCCCGCGCCTGGCTGTGAGCTTGTGCTCAGCAGCGCAAGCAGTTTCTCCACATTCCTTATTTGTGCAAAGACCTCAGCCTCGTTCTGTGCCTCCCTCTCGAGCTCCTCGCGCGTCGGATCTTGCAGCTTCTCCACGTAGTTAAGCGGGAAGATACCTGTCTGCCCGCGCAGCGATCCCTTCCACCAATCCTTGTAAACTGATTCGAGTACGGCAATAATGTCGCCCTTACGGAACTGCAGTTCACCGGGTTCGGATGGTTGGAAATCGAAGAGGGCTCGTACACGTGAGACGGTCGCCGCGGTTGTGCCTGATGGTAGGGGTTGCGAAGGCTGTTCGGGCTGGGCACTGGGAGTCGATCCGCCCTGTTGGGGCGTGTTGGACTTGGCGGCCGTCGGCGCTGCGCCCTTGGACTCTCGTATCGACATGGCAAGTGCCATTTGTAGCTCTTCTTCCTCTTTCTGGCGTTCGACGTCGGAGATCTGCGTCTTCTGTGGCTTGGAAGGCGCTCGGAGGTTGGGGTCTAAGACCTGTCAGTATTGTACAGTTCACCGCTACATCCCAACTCACTTTGTGACTTCAGCTTCATATAGGCGTTAGACATGATTCCCAGGTCAGGGTCGCGGGCGAACATGTCGCTCCACTCTTGCATGCGCTCCAGTATCTTGGCCTTGACCTGCTGATGTGTGTTGCGGTCGTTGGCAAGCCTCAGCAGCGCTTCTGTGAAGCTCCGCGAGGCAAGCTCCTTGTGCATTTGGATCCCACAGTTCTGGCTCAGGGCGTTGGCCAGCTCGAGGGTGTATAGTTGTACGTTCGCATTTCGGTGTGCTAACCGCCTGATCATGGCGGCGACCGCATCTTTGGCGCCCGTGTCGGACGATCCAACCTTGTCGCATACATCCTGCGTGGTAAGTTAGCATCTGTCGCATATGCTGGAATGTAAGGCGCATGGTCGTGGCTGGCCGAGTGTTGCGACATCTGCCCAACTCGCCGCCCAAGGCATCGCGAGTGCTGACCATACCAGAATGTATTCCCAGTTCTCACTCGTGAGATTCTCGTCGGTGGCTTTAACGACAACATCGTCGAAGATGTTGGATTGCGCGCGAAACATGACGTCTGCCTGCTTCCAAGTGTCTTGAGATTCGGTATGGGGAAGCTCTCCGGGGGCGCGGGTGCCTGGAGTCGATACGCGAGTTGAGGTAAAGGTGTAAAGTTGAGAAGGGCGGAGGGTGCGCGGATAGATCGCAAATGCGCGCGACGTAGTAAGGGTAGGTTCGGGTGAAGGCCGAGTTGTGTGTTATAGGGAGAGTGAAAGTCGTTCGTGTCGCAGTCAGTCGTATGCAACCGGGCTTAGAGCTCCCCGCCCAATGACGACGATGTGGCGGCCCTTACTCAGCCACAATGCTCGGGTCGCAAATTCACCAAGCAAGACATGTCAACGCCCATCACAATATACGCCCCTGAATATCGATCGATTGCAGGTTACACAGGAAGAATATTCATATTCGACTTTTCTATATGCCGAGATTGCCACCTCCGGCCAAGTTTGTAACCCCAAATCGTATAGACACTAAAATTGCACACATTGTATGAGATAGTCGTAAGAGATGCGCTTCCTTCTGTAACCCAAGAAATCTGCCAGATCATGAGATGGGATGTATGCCTACATCGGCACTCGGAGTATTTGAAACAACATAAATAATGCGCTCGCGAATATGAGCAGTTGAACAGGATATGACGCGCTTGCTAATTCGCTCGACAATGCTCGTTGTGTGGAGCAGCAGTATGAGGCTTCGACCTTTGCATACTGACTGCCGAGCAGGGGTGGTACCACGACACGACCATGAGGGGCGGGTGGCTTCGTGCTGCCACTGGAGATGGATATGCGAACTTGTGAGCCTCCACCACGTGCGTCTGTTCATCGTTGTGCGCCATTTCGTCACCTATAATTCCATCGTCTTGCCATACCAATCGGCGAACGAATTCGTGCTCGTGTTTGACGAATCGCGGCCGTTGGTCTGCGCATTGTCCGTACCTAAGTTCCGGTGTTAAGAGACATTCATAATGAAATAAGAAACTTCACAGACCACCCTTCTTCCGCCTCTCTTCTGCCCTCGCTTTCCTCGCCGATTGTACCAGTGGCGCTAATGTGCCTAGCGGTTCAGCGGTCTGGATGAAGGGGTGCTGCAACTTGTTAGCGATTATCGACGACAAGCAATTATGATGTACGTACCACCAGAAGATCGTGAGCACTAGCCCGCTTGTCGGGGTCGACCTTGAGCGAGAAGCCCAAGAAGTCACGGAACACTGGCGACAAGGCATGTTCCTCCTTAATCGTCGGTGTGCCGTTGGTCGCGATGAGCCACAGTGCACGGAGTGGACTTTCATTCAGGTACGGCGGCTCTCCCTCGATCATCTCGATGGACATGATACCCAACGACCAGATGTCAACCTTTCGGCCGTACTCCTTGCGAGTGACAACCTCGGGAGCCATCCAGTAGGGGGTACCTACCATGGTCGTGCGCTTGTTGTGGCTTTCGTTGATTTGCGCGCAGAAACCGAAGTCGGCTGTGAAATGTGTTAGACGTAATGGGAGGTGGCGGTTTCGAATTCAACATACTGAGCTTGATGTTGCCTTCTTGGGAAAGCAGAATGTTGTCCGACTTGATGTCTCGATGAATGACGCCCTTAGAGTGAAGATGTTGCAAGCCGTGGAGGGTCTGCAAAATTAGCGGATTTCTTCGAGCGGGACATAAAGACTCACCTCTCTGCACACAGCAGCTATTTGGCCTTCGGACATGATGTTGAAAGTAACGACATCCGTCAAACTTCCACCCTCCATGTACTCCATAACTACCCACAGATCACCTCGTAGCAAAAAGCTGTCCATGAAGTTTACAATGTTCTTGTGCTTGCTGTCCTTCATGACCAAGATCTCGTTGATAATCAGGTCTTTCTTTGGCTGCTGCTCGAGGTTCATCTGCTTGATGGCTACGCACTTGTTGGTGCTGTTTTCGTAGGCCATGAACACACCACCAGAAGCACCCTGGCCGATCTTGCTGAGGTTGCGGTATCTCTCCCGGGGATCGGCATTGGTACAGATGGCATTGAGCTTGGCCACGATATCCGGTCCCTGACTCTGCCTCGGCCTTTGACGTGGCCGGGGCGCTGGACCAACACGAGCCTGTTGCGATGGTAATGGAATGTTTTGGGGATCCGATTGCTGGGCAAAGACCTGCTGGGGCGTCGGCTGGGACATCTGCATCTGCGGCTGCGGCTGCGGCTGCGGCGCAGGGACTACAGGTGGTGCGTAGTTTGGTTGCGGGGCTCTTTGGCTCATGCTCCTCCCTAGAGGTGCCTTTGGCTGCTGCGTGGTTGCCATGGCCATGGCTTGCTGCTGCTGCTGCTGGTATTGCTGGGCGGGAGAGATCGGGGTCGAACTGGCTGGGGAATCAAATCGCGGCGGCGTTCCTCCCGTGGTGTTGGATCGGGTGCGGGACATTGCAGAAGAGCCATTGGGGCTCTCTGAGGGAGTTGGGTGGGCGTAGGCAGCCTGGGGGTAGTCGTTCTCGTAGCGAGGGGTCTGGTGCTGGGTGATGATCGGACTTGGGGCCGCGGGGGCAGGTCTGTTTGGCATGGGCGCGGCGGAACCAGCAGGAGGGCCTGGAGGCTTGGGCGCTGGCCGGCTGGGCACGAGGGCTGCAACATTGACTGGAGGAGAGTTAACGACGGGGGAGGTCAGGCTGCGCGGAACGGGAGGAGGCGCACGCGGGTTTTCGAAGCTAGACTGGTCGTTCCGTGGGAATCGCGGGCTCTGCGGGGGACTGAGCGGGGGCTGGTTGGAGCCGTAGTTTGCAGTCTGGGGCACAATGTTGGCCTGGTACGCGTATCCCTGAGGCTGCGTGGGCCCCATCTTGTCCCAGATGGCATCTTCCTCGTTCTTCTCGGCATTGTCCTTGTAGAAGTTGACCACGTCCATGACGGCCTGGGGGTGCTGCTTCTGCTCCTCCTGCGAGATGCCATTCTGCTGGAGCATGCGCTGCCACTCCTTGGGGAGGCCCTGATCTGTTAGCACACATATATCGGCAATGAGGGGCTACCCACCGTGTACTCGCCCGTATGGTTGTCGATGCTGACGTGGGTGACGTGCATGGGGTTCGTGGGCGTCGAGATGGTCGGGCGGCGCGGCGAGCCCAGCATGCTGCTCATGAAGTTGGAAAAGGTGCCCTTCTTCTTTGCGCCGCCCGAGAGGCGCTTCTTGGCTGCATCGCCGCTGCCGTCGCTGTAGCGGTTCGTCTTGCTCGACGTGGTCGAGGGCGGGGTCGTCGTGGTGTCCATCTTGGAGGTGAAGGAGCGCGACTGGCGCAGGTAGCGGTTCTGGGCAGGCTGGTCGGTGTACGAGTGCTGGAGGGCGGGCCGCGGCTGGCTCGAGGCGTTCAGAGCTTCCTCGACGATGCGGTCGAAGGGCTGGCCGACGTGGACGGGTTGCAGGTCATAGGCATGCGGGTTGGGGGGCTCGTAGACGGGCCGCAGGGTGTGCGAGGGCGAGCGGGAGAGGCCTCGCGCTGGCGACTGCGACGAGGATGCTGCAGGTGCTACGCCAAGATTCGGCTGGAAGTAAGAGGCGGCGCCTATGGAGTAAGGTCAGTATCGCAGGCACGGTAGGAACACAGGAACACCACGCACTCGGCGCACGCTTCAGCGTCGTCGGGCCCTTGTTCAAATAGGCTATTGGCGGGCCTCGCTCTTTCGACGGCCCTCTCTTGGTCAGCCTCGTGGGCCGCGTTGATGACTTGTCGTCCATTGCGGGCCTGCAGAGTGTCCTAGTCAACGTCACACCTCGAGCCTGCGCAGCCGAGGGGGGCCAGGCCGGAAGGGGAGAAGAGAGAGGATGGGCGGCGCCGTGGGAAGCTCGCTGTCGCTAGATACGTGGAGAGGGGATGCACGGCAGAAACAGGTACAGACAGAAGTGATCGCAGCAGAAGCACAGATGGATCTGGCCGACTCTCCAGGGCTGGTTTTGCCGTGCTCAAGTCCTAGCTAGCGACTCTACCACCTAATCTCCACCAGGCCAGCTATACCTCCACTAGACTCCGAATACGTCTGTTTCAGGACGTGTTTCCTCTAATTTCTCAACGGTCTGCCGCCGCTGACTGAAGCCCGCCCTCTGCCCGTTGCGACGCAGCCCCCCGACTCATGCGCGCCCGCATTTGACGCCCAAAGAAGGTGTGGCGATATGCAGTAGCTCATGTCACGTCGACGTCTACATAGTACATGATCAAGTCGATTTGCTTGTCTATCCTCTTCGCATTCATCTTTGCGCATTTTTCCATCCGTCATCGAGGGCTGAGGGACCCCATTGACAGCGACCATTCGCAGCTAACCCAACACCATAGCCACGCCGTAAAGTCTATTCTTATACCTGCCATCCCATCGCGCCTTCCCTGGTAGACGCTCTTGCTCTTGGTCGACGTGCGGCTCTTCCCGGCGTCGCATCTTCACATGCTCGGTACCTGCTACCAACACCGATGCCCAAAAACACCACGCATCCTATCGCGTCTCCCGGGCAATACGCGCGATCATTACCTCACCATAGAAGCTTCACTGCAGGGCAGACGCGTTTTGTAAATCGACTGGTAATGCCATGCAAGGCAGCGCCCGAGCTCCGAGACAGCCTCTTTCCCCCCACATCGCGCTATCTGTCGCTACGACTCCGGCCGCAGAGCACAGCGTCACGATAGCCTCAACCTTCACCCTCATGAAACACGCCACGCACGTCTCCTCTCCCACATGCAGGTCGCCGTGATACAGCATCCAACCTGCCAGCCCAAAGCACGCGAGACAGCAGGAAGTCATGCGCCAACAAATACTAATCCACCTGGGCAAGAACATGAAATGTCCAGGCAAGGAGCACGGCATCGCTCAACAACTCCGACCAGGCTCGCCTAGACGCTCCAAAACCAACGTTGCACGAACAACTCACTCCCGCTTTACGAGTCTACGAGTAATGGTCATGCAACAAGAGCCAGCATACCCCGAGCGCCGCGGCAACGGCCCATCTCCCGTTCTTCTAACGCACCCGGCCACGGCACTTTGCCCCGTGCACAACAACGCTCCTCTGAGCATCTAGGGGTTTGATCAGCCCGCCCCAAAACTGCGCAAGGCTAACACACGCCACGTGAAATGATACGAGTCTGTCGATCTATGTCAGCTCTCTAACGCTCTTCGAGTCTGGATTCATCTGTGAAGAAGCCCGAAACAGCCACATCGTGAGCTATGACGATCACCGTCAAACATGCAGTTGGTCGTGCTATTTTTGCTTCTTCGACGTCATGGCTTCAACGTTCGGTTGTCGGCACGATTTTACATCATCACCACACGTATCTGTAGTCGACGCGATGTAACGGCGCGTATGTTTAAGACGGATTACAGCAACACAGTAAACACAGGCCTTTTACACATTCAACACGCATCGCGCTCAGGCTTGGCATTCTGCGAAGACTTTGCTTCTTGAATAAGCATCTAGATCCTGCATGTCGACAGAAAGGAGGCTTGCTCGACTACTTGTTGTCTCTTCCAAATAGATGAATTCGTGGGGGTTACGGACCTCGCAAGCATGAGGTACAATATTCAGATTAGGATCTATACGAAACCTGTCAAGAACCCATCACCAACAATCCACCGTAGGCATTATAAGACTAGTCATTCATTTGTATGCCTGAGATATACGTACAACGCGCATTCCTTATCTCATCAGTTTTCATGTTTACCACGCGCTCCTTATCCGTGCCGCCCTCATCACGCCGGTCAGTGCAACTGTGGCACAGCAATCCTCCACTCCTTTCCTCAACGACTTGGTATAGGCACGCACATGAACTGCACCACCGACTTTGCGCTCACTCCTTTCGCAAACTGTGCTCGTGCACTTCTCCTGTATTCTTGTTGAAAACAGCCATATTAACGATAACTACCTCTGTGTGCTCTTTTTCGCTGTCATCCTCTTTTTCGTAAATCGTAGTATTGTCTTCTTCGTCTTCTTCTTCTTCTGCTCCTCTAAATGCGAGTTCCACGAGATCTTCATGTCTCTGTTTAGATCACTCGTCAAGCTTCACGTGTAAACTCGTTAGTCTAGGAAGCGAGACATCGTCTACGATTTGCGTTGCCCCTTTCACGTGCAAAGTAGTGTAGGTACACTCAGCGGCGAGCCTCAAAGGTCTGCATCACTCCAGATATCTTTCGTAGTACGACGAGAAACATATGTTTTTCACCGAAGTCGCATGATGAACAACTCAAGTCGCTGAACCAATTAGTCGTGCAATGGATAATACAAGTTTATATCTATATCTCCATCATATCAAGCCTAGCTGCGCTCACGCAACCATCTGCATCGCCGTAATCACTTCACGCTTCTGCATTCTTAAAGCTTTCAATAGAATCTCGAGAACGAAGTAGGTGTGCAGCTGGAAGAAAAATAGTTGTTAGCTAAGGTTCTAACGACGGTGTTTCTGCTGCGGAACAATCGAAAGAAGACGAGTAATAGGAGTGAAGGAATATTTTCGGTAGAATAACAAGCGACAAGAGACGTGGTACATAAAAGTGAGATGCGTGATTCAATTAAAACATGGATATCATATGCAAAACTGGAATCTAAGGGGGAATTCTACATTTGGTAGGTTCGATACCGAGAACTCGTGATGGAAGTTCGCCGCAATTACAGTCGTCTCTGGTGCTGATCTGAATTATAGAAATAACACGAACATGTATTCTAACAAATATTATGGAAACGAAACATTATCTCATCTCATACACAAAATGACATGATGAGCTGCAAATTTTCAAAGCGCAAAACCTGTGTTTTATGCCGCAACATCTAATATCGCTCTGCTCTTCTTCGCAATGCGCACAGATCTCATGGACGTAGGGTTAACAATTGCACGAAAGGGGGTTGACAGTCGCGCAGTTCCCACACCGCATCACAAGCACCAAAACACACACATACAGACACAGCAACATCTCATGTTTTTGTGTCCTTCAATTCAACTTCGCACCTATCCTACTCTAGCCCCTTCCAACCCTTCTTTTCCCCGTTCCCCGTTCCCGGACACGACAAAATCCCGTATCATTCCAGCTGTCGTACAACAGCAGCAAAAAAACAACAACTCCTCTTCTCATCATCATACGCGCGTGACATCCAAGAAACTCGACGCAGACTTTCTAACGTCTAATGTTGGACCGACGACCTGGGATAAAAACAAAAACCCAAAAACCCCTTTCCGATGCTTGCAAGGGCCCTGTTGCCAACCAACTATGCCGCCTGAATCGAGTGGTGAAACTTGAAGAAAAATTTATATGTATACGGTGAAAGGGTATGCGCTGACCGGTGAACCAGGGTTGAGGTCGTGAGGCGCTGAAAGAAAGTAAGGCTGTGGTGGTGTTCGGCGTGGGCGTGGACAGCTGATCAGCCGCGACAGGCGGCATCTATCAGCAGTACCGCGGGCAAGGTGAGTCGACTAGGGTAATGGCAGACCACATGATCAATAACACACATCTCGATTGCTTCATGCTGGATCTTTGGAGGCGTCATCCGGAGGTGGCTCCGTCTTTCCCTCCTCCTGATTTTGCAAGAGCCGTGCTTGTTCGTCGGGAATATCGCCCTGTTCGTTCTCCTCTCCAGCCATCGGTTCTTCTGATCGCATGACTGCTTCGTCGACCTCTTCCGAAGGGTTGGGCATTGGCGCTTCGCCTGATGGCTTGGTGTTGGCCTCGTCGGCACTGTGCTTGCCCCCGTGGAACCAGCCACCCTTCTCCCATTCTCCGGGTTGGTAGAGGCAGTCATGGCGAATGTCCGTGTCGACGATAGCAGCCATGAGTCTGTTGAGCCGATCGAAAGAGATGGGCTTCAGGATCCATGCATCAAATCCAGCGTCGATGTAGCTTTGGCGGTCGCGCTCGATCAGAGAGGCTGAGACGGCAATGATGGGGACGCGGCCGCAGAGGGCGGCTCGGGTTGAGTAGATATCGGTGTGTAGTTTCTCGAACGATCTTATCATCTTGGTTGAGGTAAGTCCGTCGACGATTGGCATCTTCAATAATGTCAGTGAACAGAGCAGGTCTTCAAAAACACTCTACTAACCTGCATATCCATCAAGACAACATCGATGTCTCGTGAATTGTCGCAGTATGCCGACGAACATTCCTCGCCATTGACGGTGAGATGGACCTCATGTCCAAGCTTTTCTAATCGTTTCTTGACAATCCTACTATTCACCGGGTCGTCTTCCGCAACGAGTACGCGCATGTGGTCCGAAGTCAATTTCTCCGGTTCCGCAGACGGTTGTATTGGTGTGTCGCCCTGTACCTCTCCGAGGACACTCCCAGGCTTGGGCCGAGGATCTACCGGACTATCGCCGCCTTCATCAGGCATCTTCAGGGCCGTGATTGGGGCACCGGAGCCAGGTACGGTAACTTCCCCTGCGTGATCGGACTGCATGCTTCTCTGGTGTGGAGGTACAATAGGCTGGCTGCTGATGTATTCAAGGCTCCTAGACCTCATGCGCGCGGCGCCGGGATCAAGACTATTGCGTTTCGTTAAGGTCGGTCTCAGAGAGTGTGCGCTTGGGCTTGCATCGCCTCTGCCGATCATGTGCGGCTCTTGTATCGCGTCGATAAGTCTGTCCACATCACTCCTCTGACTCGACCCGCTCTTGAAGCTGCGTAGACTAGTCTTGCTCGTCAGACTCTCCGCACTAGATCTTCGAATGACCACACCACTCGTCCCACCACTCGAGCTACTCTTCCTCTCGC